TACATCTCTGTTGTCATTCTCATCACATTCTTGGATGTAAAACCTCCAGGACTTTTTATTGTATCCTAAAATGTATGCAGTCTTGGCTTTTTCTTCTTTTCCCTCTGTCCCTCCCTCTCTCTCTTTTTTGCTTTGTGTCTCTGTCCCTCCTTCTGTCTCTCTCTCTTTCTTTCAACTGCTGGGTTGGCTTCTTACTTTACATTCAAACTCATCATTCTGATATTCAAGGCCCTCTTAGAAACTTGGCTGTATTTCCAGGTGCTCCAATGTGAATTCTTCCATCTAATCAAGCTGAATTATTCATTGCTCAGATATATACCTCATTCTCATATATTTATATATATGTATAGAGAGAGAGAGAGAACGATGGAGGGAGGGAGAGATTGAGAGAGGAAGTTTCAGGTGACGTTTTTGTTTTTGTTTTTGCTTTTTATTACATGTATGAGGAAGCAACATGGTTAAACATGGACTCTGGAGTCTACCTGCATCTAATTCCTCCTATTCAATTTAGTAGCTGTGTGCCTCTGGGTAGGCATATGGCTCTATCATCCTCTCTAAACCTCACTTTCCACAGCTCCCCTACTTTATTGCCTATATTAGCCTGCCCTCATAAGGATCAAATTTTTTAAATTCCTGTAAAATGTTCAATACCTGGCAGATAGTAATACAGACACACAGAAAGTGCACTCTCTTTTTTCCATTTGCAGATATATTGTGAACTCCCTTGTATGTCTATAAATATAAATTATCTTCATCATTTTTAATGGTACCCAGTAGTAAATGTTTTGAAAAAAATTGTTATACAAATGAACAATTGTTTTATTAATTTTCTCTTTTTTTATTAGGAAAGGGGGGAAACTCTAACACGCATGGAGTTATACTGTCATAGGCACTCATTTATAAACGTTTGTTCATTTTATAAGCCAAATGAGGGGGAGGCATTAGCTCCATATTGCTGATGAAGAAACAGTGTCTCAGAGAGGTTAACTGACCTAAGATTACATAGCCAGTAAGTGATAGTCAAAATTGTACTGTCTACCACAATATGCTGCTTCTCACACCAAGTGACATAAATAACTTCTGTAGGTATGGTGACCAGAAATTCGGATTTGGAGTCTAACAAAGGATTTTTGTTGTGCTAAAATGCTGTATCCTCTAGAGTGGGGTCTATTTTGTAGTATTTCACATTATGCCTATTTCTCAAGATTCAGGAATAAGACGGCAGGGCTTTACTTACTAATGTCAGTCTTACCAAACAGCTAAAAATGTCAAAGTTGACTGTAGATTATTAAACATGTCCTGCTCGGTGATAAAGACTATTGTGTTGTTAAAGGCCCAAAGAAAGAGGAACATTGGTTTTATCATTTCTCTCCACTCTTCAGTGTTCATTAAACCTGTCCCTGCCTTCAGGAATGCCAAAATTATATAGAAAATTCTAGGCCAGACAGATCTGATTTGTAGAATCAGAATCCAGTGGTTGTTAGATAGGGCACCATATCTATATAACATTCAAATAGAACCTTCACCGGTATTATCCATGTGGAGTTATAATTTTAATTTATTCATATTCAACCAGGAATATCAATTAATTCCAAATTTCCACTAACAACATTTCTACCTGAAGTATCTCTCCACCAGACAGGACCATTGTACATGATTTATGTCATTCTCCTAAAGTGCCGTCTAATCACTTATTCTGGATAGATTTGAGACTGATGTTTTGTTTTTTTGTTTCCTTAGGAATTTATGCTTTTTTTGTATATTCAGCTGTCTGATTATGAAACCTGGTGTTTTTCAGGAAACTTCATATTGGAAGCTTCCAGTATTTTCTGTCTTTATGAAGCTTGCAGGCTATATTATTGTCCTTTTTGGGAGGGATGAGGTTTGTTTTTGTATTTGCTTTTGTTTTATTTAGTTTTTGTTTTTTATTAAATTAAGGAACAGATCTAAGTTAACCTAACAAATCTGTTATTCCTTAGTCTTAAAGAACCCCTTTGAGAGCTGACCATGAGTCTTTAAAGTTGCGTCTTTTAGAAGTCTCCCAAAGATCCCACCAAGAGTTTTTTTTTTTTACTTTTTATTAAGATTATGATAGTTTACAACCTTGTGAAATTTCACTTGTACATTACTGTTTGTCGGTCATGTTATAGCTGCACCCCTTTACCCTTTGTGCCCACCCCCATCCCCGCCTTTCCTCCGGTAACCACTAATCTGTTCTCTTTGTCTACATGTTTAACTTCCACTTATGAGTGGAGTCATACAGAGATTGTCTTTTTCTATCTGGCTTATTTCACTTAACATTAATACCCTCAAGGTCCATCCATGTTGTTGTCCACCAAGAGATCTTGCAATAAAAGTTTTAAGTGTACATCTTACAGCCTGAGGACCAGTTGACTTCCATTTAACAGTATGTAGGGTGCTCTTAGCAAGCACTTTGTGGTAGGTCGACTGTCTTTGTTGAGCTGGGTTGCTCTCTTTGTTTCTTACTGCTTCTATTGCTCTTAAAACAAGCTTGATAATAATTATAATGACCAGATGATTTATCCCTAGTGAGAACTCATAGCACATGTTCTTTTAAGGAAAAAGAAAAGAAATAGGAGGAAAGAGAAAAGACCAAACTACGTTTTTTCCTGATCATTGTATTTCGGAAATGGGACTAACTTGATCCTTTGGTCAGATTTTAGTTTCATGTAGACTTCTTTTTCTCCCTCTACTTTTCCTCTAAGGAAAGGTGCTTTCACACGTGGTGATGGGAGTGGCTAAATGGTGTGTGTGGCAGAAGGATGTTTGAGGAGGAATCTGGGGAATATGGATGGTGTTCCTATTGGGATAGCATCTTCTAGATGATTGTGTTGACAATAACGTAAAATACGTATGCCTGGAAAGAACAGGGAGAGAGAGTAAAGACTTATCTGAAGTCCGAAGTGATCTTGGTACAGTCATTTAAAATGCTCAAGATTTAAAAAGAATATGTCAGGCTTTTTTTTTTTTTTTTTTTTAGCACTAACACTGACTTTGGAAGGGGAAAGATGTAGGAAGTGCACATGTCAGCAGGATGAGCTTGTAGTTCCTTTGGCAGGTGGTGACTGAATTCAGTAAGCTGCGGTCACAGCCCTGTACTAAGGGCTGCAGATGGCAGAGTGCTGGGCTGGTGAAGTACACTTGGCCACATGATGTGGGACGTTAAATTTCTTCCATAGTTAGTTTAGAAAGCCGTGTATTTTTAATTGGCTAACTCCAGTCTTAGACACTTCACTCTTCCAGTAACAGTTGCGACATATGCTCTACTCACACATATTTTGTCCCATTTCTGATGGAACTGATATTTGTAATAATGGTGATAGCTAACATTTATTGAACACTTACATTGTGTCAGGCACTCTTGTAAGTTCTGTGTATGTGTTAGCTTATGTCATCCTCACAGCAGCCCTGTGAGGATTGGAGCTGCTTTTGTCACCACTTTACAGATAAGGGCACTGAGGTTAACTTACCTCCTTCAGGTCACACAACTAGTAGAGATTTGAACCAGGCACTCTAACTACAGAAACTGTACGTTTCATTTGGTTGTTTGTTTCCTTAAAAATTTTTTTCTTTACATTTAATTTTTATGCCATATTACCTCCGTGTTTCTGTGGTTAAAGCATATGTTCTATAGACTAAAGAGCTGAAATCTTTTGGACCTCTTAGAAATTGTTCACAGTTTTTCAGTCCTTCAGTGGGAGACTGAAATTAATTTGGAATTAGAGTTCACCATTGTGTTTTGTCCAAATGATGAATTATTCAGTAAGTCTCTGTTTCCCACCTGTTAAGATCTTTATTTTGAGGTTTTTATTTTCTGCTATGTCTTGTCCACATCCCACTTTCCCAGGTGAGTAGGGGGCTTTTTTTTTTTTCCTGTTTTAGGAATTTATTGTCCATCAATTTTAGTAGGAAAATGACTTGAAATAAAACATGAAATACCATATTTCATTGAATCTAAGTCATTATCAGTTGTAAGAACATTAGTTGTCTGCACCACTGAAAAGAAAATGTTAGAGGACTTTCTTTCCCAATCAATTGAAAAACAATAAATATTGTTTTTAACATAATTGCTTAAATTTTGCCTTTTGATAACTTACTAAATAAGACATTTACTATTAGTCACATCATTTTGTTTAACTTATGCACTTAAAAAAAGAAAGAAAGAATAACAATCTAAACAATGTGGGTGATTGCATCTGCCTCCCCTCAGTGAGCGTGAACCCTGGAGTAACGGGCAGTGGGGGCTATCTATCTCTCATCCCCTTGGGTGGTTTTAGTTACTGTGTGCCACTCCCCGAGTGTGTCACTCTGCGGGGTATGATTATTTTTTGTGCAACATGGTCCATAAAAACAAACCAACAACTGGGAAAAAAGTAAGCTATCCCAAGGCTGGAAGAAAAACGGGCTGTGCCATACTTACTGAAAGAGAATGTGTTGATCTCTCACAGGTTTTTCCAGGGTAATTTGAACAAATACGCACTTTCTGCTTCATATGTTTACTTTAGAACTAACTTCCTTGTAAGATGTGACTCCTCTGTATTGAGTGCCTGCTTGATACCAGAAACTGTCATAGAGGCTAAAAGGATGAAAATTTAGTTTTGTCCTTCAAATAATTCACAATTTGAATAGCTCATAGGCAAGGAAGGGCAACTGTTAGGTAATGGAGAGGAAGAGAAGAGTATCATAAAATTAAATGGGCAGATGCTTATAAATTGCTATAACATGACCCAAAATAGTTTATTTTAGATGTTAACTTTTAAAAAAAAGGAATCAGTAAGTTTTTGAACATTGTTGTATGTATGGAAGTGACTTGCTAAATAAACTCTGCGGGGGCTAAAAGAACTATAAGCCAGACTTTCTGTTCTGAAAAATCTCATACAACTCTATGCAGTCCTCAATATACTAATCTTGAGAATGGTCACCTGAGGATCATGTAATTTTAATTGTACCTGTCATTACATTGTACATGTTTCCTTTAGGTTTCTATATATGCTGTACCAGAAAAGATTGGGCAAGTTCACCATGCCTTGGAAACAACTGTGAAGCTTCTTGAGTTTTATCAAAACTACTTTGAAATTCAATACCCACTTAAGAAACTGGGTAAGAATCAAATGGTATCTCTGATTTTCATTGCCATTATAACCTAGATTCATTCTGCAAATGTTTTTCAGGAAGAACTTTTGCCAAAGTTATTTTATAAGAAACACTGTTAATGCTTTAGGAATTGTATTTGTTAAGATTGTTTAGATTCCATGAATGTATCTGAACGTGGAGCTTAAAACACTTAGAAGTTTATTGGGGCTATTACAAAGGTGCTGTGTTAAGTGGGAATTTGCTTAGGGCTTAGTCTGGAGTTTGACTAATTCTAACTTTCTAAGAAATTCCTAATTCAAATCATGAAAACTGAGTAATGGGAGCTTGGGAAAGCAAGAGCATTTCAGTGCTGTTCAACATCCTAGATAGGAGAGAATTGGCCGTGCTCTTTGTCCTCCTTTGTCCTTCCTCTGGGAAGTTGATTCATTGTGAAGGAATTAGGTATCTCTTCCTTTGCTAAGGGACAGAGGAACAGTGACTCTGCAAGAGTTTGATCAGGTCTTCCTCAGCTGATGGATAGGTGAGAGCATGCAAGGCTAGAGTAAGGAAGGTTCCATTCGTTAGAAGTATAAAATGAGCTCAACTGCCTCTTCATTCACAGTGATAAACCAATGGGTAAAATATTTTGATTTAACTAGGGAGTGCCTTAGATGAGGGAAAGTTGATCACTTCTTTCCTGTTATGTCCAGATTTGGTGGCTATTCCTGACTTTGAAGCAGGAGCAATGGAAAATTGGGGCTTGCTCACCTTCCGAGAAGAGACACTTCTGTATGACAATACTACTTCTTCAGTGGCGGATAGAAAACTGGTTACTAAAATCATTGCTCATGAGCTGGCCCATCAGGTATTAGCAGCCAAGCCTGTTATGTCTCCTACTTGTGGTCTATTTCATATGCTAGAGTTTTAGTATAGATTTAGATGCTAATAATAATTCATATTTTTACTGTAGTATTGCTTTCTTTCATAATAAAATACTGCTTTTTTAACACAAAGTTAAACATGCTATCTGCTCTGCTGTACAGGGTTGCTGGGAGTCAGAACTGACTCCACAACAGTAGTGTACTCTGTTACCACTCTTTATCAGGGATTTTTGAGATACATCCTTTTAGAAGAATCTCCTATCATTTTTTTCTTTGAAGATTGGCACCTGAGCTAACATCTGTTGCCAATGTTCTTTTTTTTTCTTCTTCTCCCCAAAGTCCCCCAGTACTTAGTTGTATATTCCAGTTGTAGGTCCTTCTGGTTATGCTATGTGGGACGCTGCCCCAGCATGGTTTGATGAGTGGTGCCATGTCTGCGCCCAGAATCTGAACTGGCAAAACCCTGGGCCACTGGAGCAGAGCACACAAACTTAACCACTCGGCCCCAGAGCCGACCCCTCGCCTATAATTTTTTCCTTCTTACTACCTCATAAAAGAAGACTTTTAAAGATCTTTCTGATTTCATTTATTTGTATACACGCCAGCTTCCCTGAGGAATGTTGTTCGAGTTCTGTTTTGAATCATGTAAATAGTGTCCTCAACTTGGGTAACTGAGGAGAAACATGAAGTACCGGCTCTCTGACTGTAGGAAAATCTCTCACATAGAAAATGTGTCATGGATGGTTGTAGATACAATGGAAAATAATCTTACTAACTTGATATTAGAAGGTAGAAAAATTTCACTATCTGAGAAATCTCACTTTTAATGAGGTGGCTAAAAACTTCTTTTGTTTACCTAGTATGTAGTATGTGTGTTAAATTGATAAGTACGCTAATTATCTTTCTTGCTTGTTTTCCCATTCACTTAAGGTAAAATGTTAAAATTTGTGTTTTACTTTCAGAGTAAATTCATGCAACTTTCTAAGTCTTTAATTTGAATATAGTTTAACTATAATAACTATATTTAAGTAACTGTAATCCAGTTATAGGTGATTAATCTGACAATTCAATCGTTAGAAAATTCTTGAGATTGTAAATATTTTGTTGGTTAGTAGTGTTTTTTTCCCCCCAGTGGTTCGGTAATCTGGTAACAATGCAGTGGTGGAATGATCTATGGCTAAATGAAGGTTTCGCTACTTTCATGGAGTATTTCTCTTTGGAAAAAATATTTGAAGATCTCTCCAGTGTAAGTACAGTGTTTGTTAGGCCTACTATGAATGCCAGGGGGAAAAATAGTCAAGTCATATTTGTCATGTATTTTCTATGCTTTGAAGTAATGAAAATGTTTCTAGAAGGATCCAATAAAATTGAGCCTTGTTACTGATATCTATGCTTTTTGAGATTTGACAATGAAAATTATGGTTTTGTTTACTGATATATTTCATGGAAAATTGAAATTATGTGAAATTATTTTGTACTTTGTCATTAAGGTGAACACTTTAAATTGCTTTGCTACATTTTATTTTTTATTTATTATTTATTTTTAATAGATGTGACCCTTCTGCTTGAAGGAATTTAGTAGAATTGAAAAGCCTGTTTTCACAAAACAAGACTTTTGTCCTGTGTATAAAGAGGAAAAAAATTAACATGTTGTAGTGATGCTATCTCTTTATTATCATTGTGACCATTCTTATAACAGTGATACATAGGTTGATACAGACAAATCGTTTGCCCTTTTTAGGTACAAATCATATTTTGTACCATTTTCAAAGACTTGAAACACCATTCTATTAGAGAAAGCATGATAATGTTGTCACTATGTTGTTAGCCTCTCTGGAGATGTTTCCTATCCTTAGAGGTATTTGGACACAGTAGACCATAATATGACAAATGTTGCTGAACAGTTCAAGCAATAGGTGGGAAAGTGTAAAGAGTCCTTTCAACTCTAAAATTCTGTGACTTTAACTTCCTGAATATATGATTCAAGACTGCTTCAAAACAGGAGTACTCTTAGAGCTTTCAAATTGACATTTTGTGTAGGGTCTGTTCAAAAATATCAAGTGGTATAAGGAACTAATTTTTACCTAGAATACTAAGCAAGGTATTCTAAATCTGTGTATGCTACTTAATTAAGCAATGAGGTATACAGTTTCACCACTTGGTGGTGCCCAGAATGTTTAAAAACTTCTAACATATATTCTAGGGGAGTTAATCTGCTGAGCTGTCAAAGAATTCTTTCTGTGAGAGAGTTATATTTTATTTCAAATGAACCTCAGTTAAGGGAAATGTATATTATCTTAATAGAAAAGCTGGACTATATATGAGAAATCAGCTTAAGGACCAATTTTATTTTTGTTTTTTAATTTCAGATTTTATTTTTAAAATATACACTAACCTTTTTTAGAATATTCATCTTGAATATCTGGATTTGGTATTTAGTTGCTTTAGTACTAGAGTCTTAATTCATCCTTATGCTGTTGTTTAGGAAACACTGTTTTTCATGTGGCCAGGAGGTTAGTATTTTATTTTTGAATTTAAGGAATATGTGTGAATGTCACACTCTTCCTACATTTTCTAAAGCGTATATTCTAAAGTTTAGTGAAGCTGGTTCTTTTTTTATAATGACCTTAAATAGTAATTAGTCTAATTCCTATAAATAATTACAAGACTTGCCTTCACTTTTGATACTGTTCATGATTTCCTAATCTATTTAATTTTTTGCTAGTATGAAGATTTCCTAGATGCTCGATTTAAAACCATGAAGAAAGATTCCTTGAATTCATCTCATCCAATATCATCATTATCTGTTCAGTCTTCAGAACAGATTGAAGAAATGTTTGATTCTCTTTCCTATTTTAAGGTACTGCTTTGCACAAAAAGTACTTGGAGTAGGTTTCAAACTAATGTCTTATGTGAGCAAGCTGCATGATTTCGATTATATTAAAGATTAAATGAGTCTTATTTTCAGGTATCCTGTTAAACTTTAAGATGTTTGCTTCTGTTTAAATCTTGGTCTTAACTTTTCCTGATCTTTTCTTTCTTTCTCTGTCTCTTATTTAAGTTCTCTGACTAGTATTCTGGGAAGTTAACCAGATATTATAGCAATATATGTTTTAAAGTGGTTCATTTTCCAGATTTAACTTTCTAGGGAAGGTTCTAAGCAAGCCCTTGGCTGTGTTATTTAGCACTGAGGTATGTCCCAGAGTCAGAATTGGAAAAACAAGTAGTAAGCAAAAAAGAGATTTTAAAAATTGAAGATTAGATTGCAGGCTTAGAAACACAGACTCTAGGTTTGAGGGTGAAGCAAAAACAGAAAACTAGAAACCTGACTAGGATCATCATAGGTCAGAGAACAGAAGCATAAGGATATCGAAGCATAAGGATATCAGTGCCACTCATTAATGTTGAGAAGAAGGAGTGAATGCTATGGCTTATTTGCCTTTTTGCTCTGGCTACCAGACTAATTGATTAATAAATTGAATTCCTGTGCTAGACAGAGAAGAAAATACACAAACCATGTAAGATATATTCCATGTCATTAAGAAACTCAAAGTGTAGGTGGTGGCTACTTGTGAAGCAATAAAAGATAATTAATATGTACTAAATGAATGGTACAGAGTATTTTTGCCTGGGATTAAGAAGAGAAATTTTTTGGAGGAAAATGGAAATTGAAGTACGTTAAATAAGAAGAATACAGGTAATGAGGAATGGGAAGAGTAGCGTAGGGCAGGAATGAGACCATGAGGTCTGTAAAGAAGAGGTCTGAAGATTAAATGCCAGTAGACACCAAAATTTAGTCCTGGAGAGGATGAGGAGAATCCAGCAAAAGATACTGAGAGGGGTGGCCAGTGGATAGAGGGAGAATCAAGAGTGGTGTCCCAAGGTCAAGTGCAGACAGACTTTCGAGGAGGAGTGGGTAGTCAATCATATCAAATGCTACTAGTAAATTGATAAGGTAAGCCTGAGATTGATTGTGGTTTGACACCATGAAGTTCACCAGTGACCTTGATAAAAGCACTCCCAGTAGAGTGATGGTTGGAAGATGGCTCAAGAGAACATGCAAAGAGAGCAAATGGAGATGGCAAATGCAGACAGTTCTTCTGAGGAGTTTACTTAAAAGGGGAAACAAGAAACAGGTGATAACTGGGGGAGGCATGGGGTTAAGGAAAGGAGGGGCATCTTTTATTTCTGTAAGATGGGGAATGTTACATGGTTTCTGTTTGTTACTGGAAATGTGACAGTAGAAGGAGAAAGTTGGTGATGCAGGAGAGAAGGGGAACTGTTGGGAACAAGAATGAGTACTTAAATTTATAAAACAACACCATGAAGTGTGGTATAGAAAAAAGAGTAATAGATATTAAATTCAGTTATGTGAATCTGATAATCTTGATGACTTAACATTGCTACATTTTTATGGGAAGTGAAATTTATTCAAAAACTATTTGATTACATACTGTGTACTAGGCATTGTTTTAGTCATTGAAGTTGAGCTTTCAGTTTTTCTCTCAACTAGCGTACAATCCAGTAGAGGAAATAAATGCATGTCTATAGCAGATGCAGAAAGTGATATAAATTGCTTTTGAAGGTGGATAAAAATGATTTCTATCTTGAATCAGGGAACATTTCACAGAGGAGGTGGTGGTGGTTTCAAGACTGAAAATGATGACATGTGCATCAATGAATATAGTGTGGCCTTGAGAGTTGCATGCCTGATTCTGAATTATTAGTGTATGCTTATTGCCCTATACATTCCTTAGTTCCAAACATATTCGAAATGACTGCAGGAAGAAGAGATCTTGGTTACTTCAGCAACATGATATACTAGAATTGGAAATTAACATACTCCCTAGCAGAGAGACTTTTGAGAGTTCTGCTAATTTATCGTCTCCAACAGTGTGCCCATGAATGTAGCTGGTACTTTAAGTATTGGGAATAGGGGTGGGGATGCCACAGAAAATTTGACATGTTTTTCTGTTAAAAATATATTTATGAACACTTAGCTTTTTATACACAGAGAATAACTGATAGACCTCACAAAATGGTTCATAGTAGACTTAGTGCACGTGGGAATCTACTCCGTTAATTCTTTTTCAAATCCCTTAAAATAATTTTTAAAACAATTTGAACGCAGTCCATGTCTAATTATACGAGACTAAACACAGTGTATTACAACCAGGTTCTATATATGAAAGTATATGCTTAGAATGATTATATTTTGGATTCTCAATTCTGTTAACCTATTTTATTCTATTACTTAAACCTCTTGTATTCTATTATTTTTCTTTCTCACTTTTTTTTTTTTGAATAGGGAGCTTCTCTCTTATTGATGCTGAAAACTTATCTTAGTGAAGATGTGTTTCAACATGCTATTGTTCTTTACCTGCATAATCATAGCTATGCAGCAGTTCGAAGTGATGATCTGTGGGATAGTTTTAATGAGGTAAGTGACCTGGATATTTTATTTAGCTCTTTAAGTGAGAAGAGAAGAATTCTTCAATTTTTATTTTTATCAAGTAAGTAAATAAACTGTGGTACCAAGGATAGTATTGAAGAGAGAGGAAGAGCTTAGTACATAAATATTTATGAATAGAGCACAGAAGTAAAAGTCAAGAAATGGAAGTATTAGTCTGTTGAAAAAATTATTATATGGACTTGTATAACCATTTTTATTCTATACCTTAATCTCCCTTCCTACTTTGTAGGAATAATGTATGTTACTATATTTTTATTATTTCTTTTCAAATATCTCTTTTCCTATTCTTACACTTTTGCAGTTTTCCTACCTCCCATTCATGTTTTTTTCTGTACGCTGCTCTGTGATTCCTTCTCATTTCATGGCCATGTTTCTCTGGAATAGAAGATATATCCCAGGCTGCTGCAATGGGCTGCATACTGCCCTTGGGTCATTTTGCTCTTTGCATTTTGTTGTGCCTGCAGATACCTAACAAGCAGTATGATTAGGTACAAGCTATGCTTCATAGCAGTGATGAACTCAGCCTGCCTCATGCATGCATGCTAACTGCATAACCCTTACAAGCATTTGAGTTTGTTCTGCTTATCTAGATCAATGGTTCTTCATGTTTGGGAAATCACAGATGTATTTGAAAATTTGATGAAAGTTCTGGACATATTCCCCAGAAAAACCACATATATGCAAAATACCACACACAGTTTCAAAGTTTCATGGACCCTGAGTTAAGAACCCCTGGTTCTGGATCTTTTCTGTATATTCTTTTTGCTTCTTTGCCTTATCTGAAACCTGATAGTTCTTAGCTGTTAATCCTTTTCCCAGAAAATGTACCTTCCTTATTCTGAGTTCTCTTTGACAAGAGGAATCAGTCCTTATTACCTAAGAGTTGCTTCCAAATTATTGTTTTTCCTCTTACCATATAGTAGCATTTCAACTGAAAACCATGTTGTTTACTTTATACTCATTGTATTATCTCCTGACATTTAGAATATATTTCTGCCTTTCTCGCTGACTGCGACTTTTGCATCATAGTGTTTTCCTATCCTAAACTGAGTCCCTAAAATTCTCCCCAGGTTTTTCAGCATCCACATCAAATTATGCACTGGTCTCTTCATTTCAGTTTTGTTTTAAAAACCTAAAAGTGCCTTGCTTTGGGGCAAGCTTGTTTTCTTCCCAACCCCTTGTCCAGAAATAAATAGGTCAGAGCTATGAAAAATGTAAGATTAATATCATCATGAATTTGGGAAGATTTGCTCCATCCTTTTCTGCCACAAAAGAGAAGGCGGACTCATAGGGCAGAGTATAGGAAAAGAATCATGAATAGTGGGTGGAAAAACTGCAGAAGGATAAATAGGCATATGGTGATTGAGGTGAGGCCTGCCATAGTGGAGTGATATTACCAAACATTTTAAGTATTTGATGATTTTAGTTGCTTGCAATTCAAATCTATATGTAATCTAAAAAAAAATTTTGAATCATAAATTTAACCTGCCTTAAAGAAGGTTGTTCAAAAATTGCTTCTTAATCATTGATATCAGATGTCTTAGGGACAGTGGGCTTTAGAGGGCCTGTGAGCCTCTGGTACTGGATTCTAGATTTTGTAGATAAGTTCATATGTTTTCTGGGAAAGAGGGTCTGTGACTATCAAAAAAGTTTACCACTGTTCTCTAGAGAGACTGAAAGTCAAGGCAGCCACCCTGTTTATATTTCACTCTTCTGCTGCTGCTGCTGCTCCCTGGCACTCTCACAGTCTTAGTTCTTTAAAAGGTGAACTTCAGCATTCACAAGAGCAGCGAGTCTGGGGAATAAAGAGAAATCTGGACTCAGCTGATTCACAGGAGGGAGTGGAAGTGCTTCTGATTGTAGGCTATATATCGTTGTTATATCTTCTAAATGGTAGTATTGCGACCTGAAAGAGCGCTTATATCTTCTTAGGGATTTTAGTGAACACTCAGTTGGTTGACATCATATGTGCTGCTTTTCCAACATAGTGCTTCTCTGACTGTCTTTAGTTATCACTTAGTTCTGATCCAGGTTACTTTCCTTTTAATAGTTGCTCGCTTACCTAGATTATAAATGTAAATTCAACTCAGCATTCATGCTTCTTTTTCATATTAGCATTAAATGCAGTCTTCATAGAATGTGGTAGGGAAAGAGGGAAGGATACAGGCAAACTGCAAAGTTTTTAAACTGTTTATCTTTAAGTAAAAATAATTTAGTCTTTTTTTTTATATAGGTTACAAACAAAACACTAGATGTAAAGAAAATGATGAAAACCTGGACCCTGCAGAAAGGATTTCCTTTAGTGACTGTTCAAAGAAAAGGAAAAGAACTTCTTGTACAACAAGAAAGATTCTTTTTAAATACGAAGCCTGAAATTCAGCCTTCAGATGCAAGGTGCATGCCCTCTTTCTCTCCCTGCTACCTCTTTTGTACTCTCAGGTTACAGTGTTTTTAAATGTTTGATAATCATAGGTTCGTATGAAACCTAACAGGATTATCCTTTTCTGGGGACGACTTGAAAAATTTTACCATCCTGCCAAAAAAAAAAGAACAAATTATATATAACTGACTGAACTATAGGAAAGAGTAATAATCTTCCAATATTTTCTTTTTACAGCTATCTGTGGCATATTCCACTATCCTGTGTCACTGAGGGAAGGAATTATTCAAAATTTCCATTGGTATTATTACTGGACAAGAAATCAGGTTTGACTGTAATTAATACTTTTCTGATAAGAAATTGGCGACAGCGTATTTCTGAAAAATCTGACTCAGCAGCAGAAAGGCAGTTACACCTTCTAATGTGCACACTGTCTGAGCTGGTTTTATGAGTCCCCTATACAAGATGTGACTAAAGTGAGATTGATTCCATGTATCAGGCATAAAATTGCTCTTTCTTAGTCATGTGAAATAAGGTCTAAAAAGTTGGACTAAATGTACTGGCAATGCTGGTAGACAACAGCAAATGTTGTGTTTTTGTATCCTAGATAAATATATTATGTTGCAAAGTAAGCAGTAGTAGAAGTAGAGCAGTTTCTTAAAGTATGCTCTGTCGAAAATAAATAAATAGCAAGTTCTGATACTATAAAAAATTTTTTTGAAATAAGTAAAGCACTAAGATCAGTGATGATGTCATCATATCTTTGATTGATATCGCATAGCTGGAGGTGTAAAAAACAGCTGCCTTCTTTGATGAAAACAAAACTCCATACTTTAAGTGGTCCCTGGAAGGATAGCCTCTGACCTAAAAGAGAACAAATAATCCCATCTCCCTATTTGAAAAGGACTGATAAGGAAATTTTGCAAACTTTCCCATAGTGTGTAAGTTTTTGGTAGTATTAGAAATAGTTGGATAATAAGAAATCTGCTTTTATTAGCCCTTTACTTTTTTTTTAGCACTTATTTTTTTTTATTATTAATGTTATGATAGATTACAACCTTGTGAGATTTCAGTTGTACATTATTGTTAGTCATGTTGTGGGTACACCTCTTCCAGCTTTGTGCCCTCCCCCCACCCCCCCTTTTCCCTGGTAACCACCAATCAGATCTCCTTGTCAATATGTTAACTTCCACCTATGAGTGGAGTCATATTAAGTTCGTCTTTCTCTGACTGGCTTATTTCACTTAACATAATACCCTCGAGGTCCATCCACGTTGCTGCGAATGGGCCAATTTTGTCTTTTTTTATGGCTGAGTAGTATTCCATTGTGTATATATACCATATCTTCTTTATCCAATCATCAGTTTCTGGGCATGTAGGTTGGTTCCACGTCTTGGCTATTGTAAATAATGCTGCGATGAACATAGGGGTGCAAGGGACTCTTGGGGATTTCTGATTTCAGGTTCTTAGGATAGATACCCAGTAATGGGATGGCTGGGTCATAGGGTATTTCTATTTTTAACTTTTTGAGAAATCTTCATACTGTTTTCCATAGTGGCTGTACCAGTTTGCATTCCCACCAACAGTGTATGAGGGTTCCTTTTTCTCCACAACCTCTCCAACTTTTGTCACTCTTGGTTTTGGATGTTTTTGCCAATCTAACGGGTGTAAGGTAATATCTTAGTGTAGTTTTGATTTGCATTTCCCTGATGATTAGTGATGATGAACATCTTTTCATGTGTCTATTGGCCATATTTATATCCTCTTTTGAGAAATGTCTGTTCATGTCCTCTGCCCATTTTTTGATCGGGTTGTTTGTTTTTTTATTGTTAAGCCGTGAGAGTTCTTTGTATATTATGGAGATTAACCCTTTGTCGAATAAGTGTCTTGTAAATATTTTTTCCCAATTAGTGAGCTGTTTTTTTGTTTCAATCCTGTTTTCCCTTGCCTTAAAGAAGCTCTTTAGTCTGATGAAGTCCCATTTGTTTATTCTTTCTATTGTTTCCCTCAACTGAGGAGTTATAGTGTCCGAAAAGATTCTTTTGAAACTGATGTCAAAGAGTGTACTGCCTATATTCTCTTCTAGAAGACTTATTGTTTCCGGCCTAATCTTTAGGTCTTTGATCCATTTTGAGTTTATTTTGGTGTGTGGTGAAAAAGAATGGTCAATTTTCAATCTTTTGCATGTGGCTGTCCAGTTTTCCCAGCACCATTTGTTGAAGAGACTTTCTTTTCTCCATTGTAGGCCCTCTGCTCCTTTGTCAAAGATTAGCTGTCCATAGATGTGTGGTTTTATCTCTGGGCTTTCACTTCTGTTCCATTGATCTGTGCACCTGTTTTTGTACCAGTACCTTGCTGTTTTGATCACTGTAGCTTTGTAGTATGTTTTGAAATTGGGGATTGTGATTCCGCCGGCTTTGTTTTTCTTGCTCAGGATTGCTTTAGCAATTCATGGTCTTTTGTTGCCCCATATGAATTTTAGGATTCTTTGTTCAATTTCTGTGAAGAATGTTCTTGGGATTCTGATTGGGATAGCATTGAATCTGTAGATTGCTTTAAGTAGTATGGACATTTTAACTATGTTTATTCTTCCAATCCATGTGCATGGAATGTCTTTCCATCTCTTTATGTCGTCGTCAATTTCTTTCAAGAAAGTCTTGTAGTTTTCATTGTATAGATCCTTCACTTCCTTGGTTAAGTTTATCCCAAGGTATTTTATTCTTTTCGTTGCGATTGTGAATAGGATTGAGTTCTTGAGTTCTTTTTCTGTTAGTTCATTGTTAGTGTATAGAAATGCTACTGATTTATGTATGTTGATTTTATACCCTGCTACTTTGCTGTAGTTTTTGATTATTTCTAATAGTTTTTCTATGGATTCTTTGGGGTTTTCTATATATAAGATCATGTCGTCTGCAAACAGCGAGAGTTTTACTTCTTCATTACCTATTTGGATTCCTTTTATTTCTTCTTCCTGCCGAATTGATCTGGCCGACACCTCCAGTACTATGTTGAATAGGAGTGGTGAAAGTGGGTACCCTTGTCTTGTTCCTGTCCTCAGAGGGATGGCTTTCAGTTTTTGTCCATTGAGTATGATGTTGGCTGTGGGTTTGTCATATATGGCCTTTATTATGTTGAGGTACTTTCCTTCTATACCCATTTTATTGAAGGTTCTTATCATAAATGGGTGTTGGATCTTGTCAAATGCTTTCTCTGCATCTATTGAGATGATCATGTGGTTTTTGTTTTTCATTTTGTTGATATAGTGTATCACGTTGATTGACTTGCGGATGTTGAACCATCCCTCTGTCCCTGGTATAAATCCCACTTGATCATGGTGTATAATCTTTTTGATGTATTGCTGTATTCGGTTTGCCAGAATTTTGTTGAGGATTTTTGCATCTATGTTCATCAGTGATATCGGCCTGTAGTTCTCCTTCTTTCTGTTGTCCTTGTTGTCCTTGTCAGGTTTGGGGATCAGAGTGATGTTGGCTTCATAGAATGTGTTGGGGAGTACTCCATCTTCCTCAATTTTCTGGAATAGTTTGAGAAGAATAGGTATTAAGTCTTCTTTGAATGTTTGGTAGAATTCTCCAGAGAAGCCGTCTGGTCCTGGACTCTTATTTTTGGGGAGGTTTTTGATTACTTTCTATTTCCTTACTTGTGATTGGCCTATTCAGATTCTCCATTTCTTCCTGATTCAGTTTGGGGAGGTTGTAGGAGTCTAGGAAGTTGTCCATTTCTTCCAGGTTGTTCAATTTGTTGGCATATAGTTTTTCATAGTATTCTCTTATGATCCCTTGTATTTCATTGGTATCTGTTGTGATTTCTCCTCTGTCATTCCTAATTTTATTTATTTGAGATTTCTCTCTTCTTTTCTTGGTGAGTCTGGCTAAAGGTTTGTCGATTTTGTTAATTTTTTTGAAGAACCAACTCTTTGTTTCATTGATCCTTTCTACTGTCTTTTTTGTTTCAATATCGTTTATTTCTGCTCTTATTTTTATTATTTCCCTCCTTCTACTGACTCTGGGTTTTGTTTGTTCTTCTTTTTCTAGTTCTGTTAGGTGTCGTTTGAGGTTGCTTATGTGAGCTTTTTCTTGTTTAGTGAGGTGAGCCTGTATTGCGATGAATTTCCCTCTTAGGACTGCTTTTGCTGCATCCCAAATGATTTGGTATGTCGTTTTCTCATTTTCATTTGTCTCCAGATAATATTTGATTTCTTCTTTAATTTCTTCAGTAATCCATTGTTTGTTCAGAAGCGTGTTGTTTAGTCTCCACATTTTTGCACCTTTCTCTGCTTTTTTCTTGTAGTTGATTTCTAGTTTCATAGCATTATGATCAGAAAAGAAGCTTGATATTATTTCAACTCTCTTGTATTTATTGATGTTTGCTTTGTTTCCCAAAATATGGTCAATCCTTGAGAATGTTCCATGTGCACTTGAGAAGAATGTGTAACCTGCTGTTTTTGGGTGAAGTGTTCTATATATATCTATTAAGTCCATCTGGTCTAATTTTTCATTTAATTCTATTATTTCCTTGTTGATTTTCTGTCTGGATGTTCTGTCCATTGGTGTTAATGGTGTGTTGAGGTCCCCTACTGTTATTGTATTGTTCTTGATGTCTTCTTTTAGTTCTGTTAAGAGTTGCTTTACAAATTTTGGTGCTCCTGTGTTGGGTGCGTATATATTTATAAGTGTTATGTCTTCTTGGTGGAGAGTCCCTTTTATCATTATGTATTGTCCCTCTTTGTCTTTCTTTATCTGTTTTGCTTTGAAATCTACCTTGTCTGATATTAGTATAGCGGCACCTGCTTTCTTTTGTTCATTATTAGCTTGGAGTATTGTTCTCCATCCCTTCACTCTGAGTCTGTGTTTGTCTTTGGGGCCAAGGTGTGTTTCCTGGAGGCAGCATATTGTTGGGTCTTGTTCTTTGATCCATCCTGCCACTCTGTGTCTTTTGATTGGGGAGTTCAATCCATTTACATTTAGAGTGATTATTGAGATGGGGGGGCCTACCACTACCATTTTATGTCTTGTTTTCCGGTTTTCTTCAATTTCCTTTGTTTCTCGTCCCATGGTTTAATCTATTCTGATGAAGAGCTGCTACTCTCTGTTTTTGTCCTTCTACTTATCTCCTCTGCTCTTGGTTTTGTAGCCCCTTTCCTTTTTTTGATTTTTCGGGAATGAGGGTTTTCCTGAGGATTTCCTGAAGAGGAGGTTTTGTGGCAATGAACTCCCTTAATTTTTGTTTATCTGGGAAAGTTTTTATTTCTCCATCGTATTTGAAGGATATTTTCGCTGGGTAGAGAATTCTCGGCTGCAGGTTTTTG